TGGTAAAGAACCCTCTTGCCAATGCAGGTAGATGTAAGAGACGTGAGTTCTATCCCTGGGTCGGGCATACCCTCTGGAGTGAGGGCATGACAACCCACTCCGGTATTCTTGCCTGGAGAATCCCCATGGACAGAGGAGCCTGGCAGGCTACAGTCCATAGTGTCACAAAGAGTTGAATACAACTGAAGTGACTTAACAGCACGTGTTTTCTTATTTCTGTTTATGAAGATAATGCACATTTACTTTTCTAAATGCAAATAATACCAAAGGCAGGAGAAAAAAAATCAGAAATTACCACAGTACAAGAACCATCATAAATACTATGCCTAACACTATTTGTATACGCATACACAGGCAAATACATATATGTAAGGAAACATAAATTCATGTATAAAATACTTAAAAATGAAAAGCAGGTTGTACAACAGTGATATATAATCAAGATCCTCCAGTTAAGAAAGGCACTCAAACTTTTTAAAACAGTTCCTCTTATAAAAATTACATTTGTTTTAAAAACCAAATGGAATTTGAAAAGTTCAAAGAAGAAAGTGAAATTCCTGAAAGCATGCCAGGTTGAGAGAACCACTCTAATAGTGTTGATACATATCCTTCCAGATGAGTCATAAAGCCTGAAAAAGAATTTAAAGACAGACAAAACAAAACTCAGAAAAACAGAAAAGCCTGCTTGTTTTGTGTTTAGGTTTTAGAAACTGTCACAAGCACCTTTTAAGCTACAGTGGGAAGAAAATATGCTTGTAAAGCTGCTGATGTTAAACACCAGACATACACTGAGCTTTCTCAAGCCCACAATGAAATAAGAAACCAATTATGAACTTAACAGCTGATTCACTAACACTGGGACAGTCAGGGCAGGGCAGGTGACTCCAACCCACCATAGATTGAGCCGATTGGAGGCAGCCCCGTTTTCCTTTGCTCCTGGGTAGGCGTGTCCTTCAGGGCATCGCTGAAAGCCCTGCTCCTCCATGGCAGCCCTGAGGTGTCTAAAGACGCATTTTGCTCTGTTTCAGCATCTTTTCTCTTTCCCCTTCCGCTCAGCGCCTCCGCGTCTCAGCCATCACTTTCACAGCAGCAATTTCATAGTAGAACAAAATGGCAGCAACACCAGCCAGGCTGTCTTCTCTGGGCCTCCCTGCTCCCCAGGATCATGGCTTCTTGGGCTCCAGCTACTTTGGGAGCTCTCCAGCACCTTTAGGAAAGGTACAAGAAATTTTTAATGAGTCATTTAAAAATGCAACTTTAAATTCCCAATAAAAGTGATTTTTTCAAAAAGATGTTTCTTTATGGCTGCGCTGGGTCTTTGCTGCACGTGGACTTTGTTTAGTTGCTGTGCAAGGCTTCTCATTGCAGTGACTTGTCTTGTTGCTGAGCACAGGATCTAGGCACGGGGGCTTGAGTGCTTTAGGCACATGGGCTCAGTAGTTGCAGCTCCCAGACTCTAGAATACAGACTCAATAGCTGTGGGGCACAGGCTTAGTTGATCTGAGGCATGTGAGATCTTCCCGGATCAGGGATCAAACCAGTGTCTCCTGCATTGGCAGGCAGATTCTTTACCACTGAGCCATCAGGAAAGCCCAAAAGTGAATTTTAAACATTAAAATTATTCTGAGTTGTATAATGAAATTTTATATCTCCCTGAAAATCAAATCAGAGAAAAGGTATGGCAGCGAAGACAAGACATACGGGCACAGAGATACAGCTTTGCATCCATTCTTCAATTTAGGCTTTAAAGAAACACAGAAACATAAACTGTTACATAAATAAATGAAATGAGGAAGGAAACATCTACCTAAGTAACACAGGAAATTTACAGAAAGAACCTTCTGGTAACAGAAGTAATTATCAGGTGTGGGGGTGACGCTGAAAACTCCTATGTGCTGAATCGAAGCTTGGAGACAGTTTTGGTGGAAGTAGAAAATAACAGCTTTATTGCTCTACCAGGCGAAGGGGGACAAAGTGGGCTCCTGCCTCAAAAACTGTGTGTCCTAACTGGGGAGGATTAGGTGAGTTTTATAGCAATGGTTCAAGGGTGGGGTTGCTGATGAGATTAGGATGTGTATGGGACCTGCACTCCTTTAATCTGGGCTCAAGTCATCTCTTGATGAGCTTCTCCAGTTCTTTTTTTTTTTTTTTTTAATTATTTATTTGTCTTAGTTTGGCATATGGGATCTAGTTCCCTGACCAGGGACCGAACCCAGGCCTCCTGCATTGGGAGCACAGAGTCTTAGCCACTGAACCGCCAGGGAAGTCCCTCCAGTTTTTTTTTTTAATCTGGCTTTTGGTGGTCTTCTCTGGAATGAGGAATACTGGCATCTTCTATTTATTGGGGTTAGGCTTCCCCGATGGCTCAGCAGTAAAGAATCCACCTGCAATGCAGGAGACACAGGTTTGATCCCTGGGTTGGGAAGACTGCCTGGAGTAGGAGATGGCAACCCACTCTAGGATTCTTGCCTGGGAAATCCCATGGACATAAGCCTAGCAAGCTATAGTCCATAGGGTCACAAAGAGTCATACACGACTGAGCATGAATATCTAAGTTTAACTTTCAAAAGGAAGCTGCAAAGAGGAAAAAACAAGAACTAATTAGAACCAGCTAGGGCCAAGATGGCAGAAGATTTGATTCCTGTGGCCCTTGAGCCTGATAACAGGCTCACTGTAATACATTAGCTAAATGACACGCCCACCAGCACCAAGACAGTTGTCATGACAACTGGTAAAGCTGTATGAGGACTGAAAAGGAGAGCTGCAACAGTTTCAGGTCAAAATCACACACCTGTTCTTGAATAACTCATGTATTCCTCTCACTCTTTCCAATTTCCTCCCCTTTTCCTCAACCCTTCTATATTTTTGGTATCTCCACCTGAATTAGGTTGAGAAGTTGTTTGCAAACTAGGTTCCTGCTTCTCCATTTTTTGGCTATTAAATAAAGCTTATGTTGCTCTAGTCTCAGCATCCATTTTGCTATCAGCTGGGCCCGTCTACTTGGAAAAAGAACCTCCTCCGAGGTCAAGATGAGTCTTGCCCAGGCTAGGACCCCAGCATGGGTCATTGACTAGTTTGGTAACAGTGCCTTTACTGGGGTAGGGGGCCCTTGGAGAAGACCCTGGCAGGGGATGATCAGGAGTTTTGTTTTAGAAATGCTGGTTTCCAGGTGCTCTGAGACATCCAAGTGGAGAAGAGGAGGTCACTGATATGAGGGCTGAGTACCACAAATGACACAGCCCTTGCTCTTGCAGTAAAACAGGAACAGATCAACGTTTTGTGAGATTGAGGGCATGATTAAGAGGCACTGCACACTTCTGGGAAACACAGTGAGTTCACAAATCTTCACAGTGACATGGAGGACTCTGGGAATGCTGATGAAAGCTGTTTTGTTCAGATTGATGGAGCAGCATCTGAAAAACCCAGCAAATACACTCAAGATATTATTATCTGGGTATTTCAGAGAAGAGCAACAGCAGAGAGAGAGGGGAGGGGTCTGTCCCAGGAAAGCTCAGCAGGGTCCCAACCTGGAACATCTGCAGGGCTCTCCTTAGCTGACTTCTCAGCAGCCTTTGTCAAAGCAAATGACACCTGTTTCCTCAGTCTCTTCACTCAGCTCCACAGACAACCTCTCCTGGTTTCCTACTTCTCTGGCAGCCTCTGCTTGTCCTCTGCAATTCCTGCTCCTGGCCCCGAAAGGCTGGTTGTGTGTGTTTTCCTTTATGCACCTGTCTTAGGTGACCCGGGGCTTCCCTGGTGGCTCAGAAGTTAAAGAGTCTGCCTCCAATACAGGAGACTCGGGTTTGATTCCTGGGTCGGGAAGATCCCCTGGAGAAGGAAATGGTAACCCACTCCAGTATTCTTGCCTGGAGAATCCCATGGACGGAGTAGCCTGGTAGGCTGCAGTCCATGGGGTCACTAGGAGTCAGACACGACTGAGTGACTTCACTTTCACTTTAGGTGATCCCACCCAATTCCATGGTTTCAAATACCATCTATATTCCAATAACTCCCAATTTCTGTCTCCAGTTTTGTCACTCTTCTGATAAGCTTCAGACCTATATGTGTTAGTAGCTCAGTGGTGTTGGGCTCTGTGCAACCCCATGGGCTGTAGCCTGCCAGGCTCCTCTGTCCAAGGGATTCTCTAGGCAAGAATACTGGAGTGGGCTGTCATTTCCTTCTCCAGGGGATCTTACCCTTCCAGGGATTGAACCTGGGTGTCCTGCATTGCAGGCAGATTCTTTAACGTCTGAGCCACCAGGGGTGCCCATATATCCATCTGTGTATCATTTCTCTTCGGATTCACGTGTCCAAAACCCAATTCTTGACCTTCCCCACTTCCCCGCCAAACTTCGCAAGCCACCCTGTATCTTAAGAAAATGGTGCCAAAATTCATCTGGTTGTTGAGAACGGACATCTAGGGGGTCATCTGTGCTTCTCCCTCTTCCCTCCCATCTCTCTCTTCTATCCCTTGAATGAGGACCCACCCCCACTTTACCCCATCCCCTTCAACTATCAAAGCGATCAAGAGGCTTTCAGACCCGCAGTCTAAACTAGTTTTCCCTGTTACACGCTCAGAGCATCCAGGCGCTGACCATGCTCTCCTTTAGTAAGAGACAGGCTCTAGAAGGATGCGCTTTCCTTAGACCAGGGGGCAGCCCTGCCCCACACAAGCACGCGGCCCTACGCAAGCTTCCTGTGACCGAGAGGGAGCCAGGACCACCGACTGCCCGGAAAAGTGCGGCTGGGCTCCAGGGCGCGCACGCCCGCCCACTGCACCAAACATCGTTTCCCTGTCAGGCCCTCCGCCCCTCCGCCCTTCACTCTTCGTCTGCTGGGCAGCCCTGGGGCTCCGCCCCCACCGCAAAGGGGAGGAGCCTCCCGCGGAGAGCCGGCTTGGTCTCCGGCCGGTGGGCCCCACCGCTATGAGGCGGGCGGTTAGTCGCCAGTTTAAGCGAAGAGATCTGCGGGTCACGTGCCAGAGGGTTGGGGGCGTGGCACCAGGAAGCGGCCTCAGCGCCCGCGAGATCGCCGCCACCGCCGCCGCCGCCCAGCCAGACTCCTTACATCCGGTGTTGCTCTACCGGCTTCACGCTGGCGGCCGCCCCTGGGCCCCCCGCCGCCGCCGCGGCGCCCGCCATGGGCGAAGAGGACTATTACCTGGAGCTGTGCGAGCGGCCGGTGCACTTCGAGAAAGCGAACCCGGTCAACTGCGTCTTCTTCGACGAGGCCAACAAGCAGGTCCGGGCCGGCCCGCGCCCTTCTCCCCCGAGCGGCCCGGCGCGCCCTGCCAGCCGCCCCCGATGCCGCTGGGTGTTCCGCGCGCCGGGGCCGGGGGCCCGGGGATCAGGCCTAGGGCCCCCGCGCCAGTCCGGTCCTGTGAGGCATCCAAGTGACCGGGCTCCGCCGCGGCCAGGGCTTCCTCTCCCGAAGTGACAGCCGGGCGGACCCCGCTCCCCTCGGCCGCTGCGGTCCGCTGGTGGCACGCCGGTGTTTCCCCGACGCCTTCTGGTCGTCAGTTTCCCTTGCAGTGAAGGATTTAGGCGCTGAGATTTTCACTGTTGTCGGGAATTTTGTAAACTCGGGGAGCAGCTTGGCTGAGTAGCCGGGTGTGCTTAACTGCATTCACGGTGCCTTTGCAGAAACAGGTTAGAGCTTGCAGCCTCCAGGACCGACCCGGTCTCGCACGGCGGGCAGCGTGCCAAATGGCAGCTTGTTTTGGTCACTACTCTCTTGTTTCTTAAAACTCATGTGGACACCAAGCATCCGCAGTTTGCTTAAGTGCCACGTTAGTTCAGCTGAACCCAGGGTGGGGCGTAGCAGAAATCATCGTCGCAGGTAGGCATAGGTGTCTGGAGCCTTTCAGAGTTTAGGATGCTAAAACGTCCCTGTTTTTTCTCCCAGGTTTTTGCCGTTCGATCTGGTGGAGCCACTGGAGTGGTAGTGAAAGGCCCTGATGACAGGAATCCCATCTCATTTAGGTAATTATCATATTGACGTTTCCAGACTGTTACAACGTGTCAACAAAATGGTGTTTTTATCTGTTTCTCATTCAGAAGCTTGTTTTATATGTTGGGTGTGGGGCACATCCCTGCCTGTAGGAAGAGGGAAGCAGACACCTGCTATACAATCTTGGTGGATATCCTTGGACTTCCCGTCAGAGTGAAGGTGTGCAGTCTTTCCTTGTTGTTTTGGGATCCACATACTCCAGTTCATGTCTCTTGAAATTAACCAGTCAGAGTGTCAGCGTTCGTATTTCCGGCTTCTTGGCTGAAGAGGGGCTTTATTTCCTCTTTTGGCTCAGGGGCTTTCCAGAGCTTTTGGGAGATGGAGGAGATTCCTGGGTCAGTGTTTGCCATGTAATCATGTGTGTTGAAACTTCAGCTTCCAGTATACTTAAGGGCACTGGATGTCCCAGTATATCCCAGTGGAACCAGTGTAACTATGGGTAGCAGCTCCTTTCACTTACAGAAGTATCTCAGTTTGGATGATAAACTATCTGATGACCTTAACTCTTGTGATTACAGAGGGGAAAGTACAGAGTTGATCCTCAGTTCAGTGGTGACTTTAAAAACATTTTACAGTTGGACTGTGTAACTAGGAAACAGTTTTTATTTTTTTGTTTTTTTTAAGTTTTTATTTATTTGGCTGTGCCTGGAGAATCCCAGGGATAGGGGAGCCTGGTGGGCTGCCAGCTCTGGGGTTGCACAGAGTCGGACACGGCTAAAGTGACTTAACAGCAGCGGCCAGGTCTTAGTTGCAGCGTGTGGGTTCTTTTCCTTGTGGCATGTGGGATCTGGTTCCCTGACCAGGGATGGAACCTGGGCCCCCTGCATTGGGAACGCAGAGTTCTTAGTCACTGGACCACCAGGGAAGTCCCTTGAAAACAATTTTTGAAGTAGAAAATGAATCAGCCTCTTTTTCTTCGATCATCCTTTGTTGGGAAAACACTACTTGCAGTGTGCTGGGCTCCAAGCGTGTGGAGGCTTTGAGTGAGCCTGGCCCCCTTTAGGGGTCGCAAAGAGTCAGACACGACAGAGCCACTGAGTAGGTGAGCACACCCCGCTCTTGGAAAACCCATACGTATAGTGTTGGGAGGCAAGGAGTGGACACATAGTATTTACTGTGATAGGTATTGTAATCACCTGCTCTTCAGAATGTAGGCACAGAGAAGAGATGGGCATTTATCTTGGAATGGGCTGGGGAAGATCACTGCCTGGGAGGGGGGAAAGCCTCAGAGAGGATTGAGGCCTGAAAGGGAGACTTCTAGGTGGACAGGAGGCTTCCGGATGGAGAGAACATGAAGACAAGCAGTCTCCCTGTTGCGGGGAGGTTTCACGCAGGGAAGGCATGGGTGGTGATGTGGCCACTGACAGCAGTCAGCTTGAACCCTCTATATTCTGTTCATCTTGTTACTTTAGATTTTTAAAAAAGGCAAAAAGATGAGTAGTGGGAAGAGTGCACTGGTGCAGCATTGAGGCTCGATTGGTTGGGAACCTGTCACGTGAGCCAGGTGTCCCAGTAAAAGACAACTGCTGCGCTCTGAGCGGTGCAGTGGAAACCTGCCTGAAGGCAGTGTAGACCAAAGACAGGGTTGACTGGCCTCCAGTAGGCTCTCCGGGGTTGCTTAGGAAGGTCTGGGGGAAGACTCGCTGGTCGCTTGGGTGTGGAAAGTGGGGGTGAGGCCATGAGGATCTAGCTCAGGAGGCTCAGGAAGACTTGAGGGGAGATACTGAGCTTACCCTCTTTGATTTTTTTGGCCACACTGAGCGGCTTGTGGGATCGTAGTTTGTCGACCAGGGATCGAACCCAGGCCCAGTAGTGAAAGTGCTGAGTCCTAGCCACTGGACCACCAGGAAATTCCCTACCCTGTTTTAAAAACATCTTGCTACTTTTAATAGCTCTGTTATGGTCTAATTATTACTAGCTGCATATATTTGACATACATAGTTGATGAGTTTTGATACATGAAACCGTCATAATCGGGACAGTGAGTGCCCCATTTCCTTCGAGAGTTTCCCCTGTGATCCAGCCCTTGACTTCCTCTTGATGTCCATCTGAGGTGGTTGTGAGATGGAGGTGCAGCCGTCCTGGGCGGCGCAGCCCATGGGGTGCTGGGTAGGAAAAAGTAGACTCCTTTTTCAAAAGCGCTGCTATATACTTCAATCAGAAATAAGTAAATATCTCACAGCTGCCAGCATCTCAGGAGAAAAAAGGTGTTGCTGTGAAGGCAATGGAGAGAGAAGGCGGCAGTGTGTGGAGAAAGTTGCTCTGGGGTCTAGACTCAGTGACATCTAAAAGGAGGCTCAGGTGAAAGTACAGTGTTCATAACACCTTAGTCACTTGATACGTGCAATTCGGTCAGTTTCTTCTGCCTCCTGTTGCCAGTTGGACTTTGCTGTTTGAAAAGCGGTCCTACTCAAATGCTCAGGCCTGGTGCACTGGGAAGACCCAGAGGGATCGGGTAGAGAGGGAGGTGGGAGGGGGATCGGGATGGGGAATACATGTAAATCCATGGCTGATTCATGTCAATGTATGACAAAAACCACTACAATATTGTAAAGTAATTAGCCTCCAACTAATAAAAATAAATGAAAAAAAAAAGTGGTCCTACTGAAGCTTCAGAAACATCATTGTCATTTTAAACTAAGATTTGCTGCTTCCTGAATATTTAACTTGTCTTTTTTCTTCTCATAAAATGATAGAAGCTAGAATGCAGTCATGAACTGTACAACTCATCACCTGCTCTTTCTTCTTAAAGAATGGAGGACAAGGGAGAAGTGAAGTGCATCAAGTTTTCCTTGGAAAATAAGATATTGGCTGTTCAGAGGACCTCAAAGACCGTGGTAAGACATATCTTTATAGTACAAAGAAAAGGACATTAGAAGTACATTTGGTGGGCTTCCCAGGTGGCGCTAGTGGTAAAGAATCTGCCTGCAATGCAGGAGACACCAGAGATATGGATCCAATCTCTGGATTGGAAAGATCCCCTGGAGGAGGGCATGGCAACCCATTCCAGTATTCTTGCCTGGAGAATCCCGTGGACAGAGGAGCCTGGTGGGCTACATTCCATGGGGTCGCAAAGAGTCAGACATTTGACAGCAGAGAAAATAGACCAAATAAAAGTACACAGTAAATAATAAGGAATGGGGAAATATAAAACTAGAAGTACATTTGGAAGAGAACGAACTGCAAAATTCCAGTGTCAAAGGACCCATTTTTATTTTAATTTCATGGAAGCTGTAGTTCCATGCTGCATTGTATTTGAGTTTTTGTATTCTTGAAGATGAGAAATACATTTAAATGGATAAATGCTTAATGGCCTTAGTTTGTCATTTTTTACTTAAAAAAATTTTTTTAATGTACCTCTTTTAAAATTTTTCCTTTTTTTTTCTTCTGCTCTACGTGGCTTGCAGGAGTTTAGCTCCCCAGCCAGGCACCAAACCTGGGCCCCCTGCAATAAAAGTGAGGCATCCTAACTCCTGGAATTGCACAGAGTCCCCTTAAAGTTTTTTTAAAAATTATTTGGAACATCAGGCATCTTTTGTTTTGATGGATAACTGGAACCATAGATTTTTCAAAGCATATTTTTGGCAACTTTGGGAGTTAGCCTTACCTCAGTATCTTCATATTTTCATTTCTCTCATCTTTGAATGCTTGATCTAAGAGCAGATATTCAAAGCTGGAGCAGCTTGTTGGCATTTTGGCTTTCGTCAGTATTCACCATCGCAATTTGTAGGGAAAAAGCTGTTGAGAAAGGCAAATCCTGTTTCTTTCTGTCAGTATTAACTGCTAAAATTTTTGGAAAGCCTCTTGTAAAATATAGCAACCCATTTCTCTGAAGTCAGTCATTTGAGGAATGCATTTTCAAAATCAGTTTCTGAACCCTCAGAATATTTGGATTAACTCATTTTAAAAATTGGAATTGTCAACCTGTTGCTGATAATGGGGCAGTTTGTCCAGATCGGTTATTTTTCCTGTCCTTGGGGTTTTGTCCGTTTTTTTTTTTTTTTTTCCTGACCACTTTTTAAATTTATTTGTCTTTTTCCTCTTGTCTCTTTGTACTCGAAGATTCACACTTCTCCTCTTGTGTGCTTCTTTCCTTTCAGGACTTTTCTAATTTTATCCCGGATAGTTCTCAGCTGGAGTACACTCAGGAGTGCAAGGTATGGGCTGGTGGGGTGATTCTGTCTGAGCTGGTGGGCACAAACCCCAGGGTCAGAAGCACAGGGTAGCTGGGTAATTGAGAGCACGAATGTGGAATTAGATTGTGCTTGGACCCTGGGATCTGCCTCACGTTGGCTTTGACTTCGGACACTTTTTAACTTTAAAGTGCATTTCTTCAGCTGTAAGATGGAGCTAGCAGAACTAAACGGATGGGCGATGTTGAACACCGAGCCGCTTCAGCCCTTGGTGGCTGTTGTCTTCCTGTGGCCCCTGCCCTTCTCTGCTAGTCGGTGTTTCTGGGTCAGACATGGGTTCCCTTCATAGCAGCCTCTTCGGAGGTTTTCGGAAAAGGAGTTCTCTCCCCCTTTTTCCTGATGATGTTGTCTGGACTTGGCTCCTTGTGTCCTTCCTCTTCCATCCATCCCGTCAGTGGAGCGTTCTAATCCACGCTCAGATTTGCTGAGCGTGATGAGCTAGAGGGGGCTCAGCTCAAAGAGCATCCTGGCACCCAGGAAACCCAGCAGACGCTGCTGGTGAAGAGGTTTGTCTTTGTGCGTCTTTGTAATGGTTTCGCTACTTGAGAATCCACCCGGGTTCCTCAGATTTCCCAGGTGGCTCAGAGACTCTGCCTGCAAAGCAGGAGATGCAGGTTTGACCCCTGGGTTGGGAAGATCCCCTGGAGGGGGAAAGGGCAACCCACTCCAGTATTCTTCCCTGGACAGTCCCATGAACAGAGGAGTCTGGCAGTCCGTGGGGGCACAAAGAGTCGGACACGACTGAGTAACTAATACTTCTGATGGGTTCTCAGCAAAGAGGGGCCCATCTGCAGACACCTTAGCTCCTGGCAGGCTCCATTGCTGTGTGCAGCAGAGCCTGGTCCTGGCCTGGCTGCCCTGAGGCTCCCAGCGTGGCTCTAGGTGACTCAGGGCAGGGCTCAAGATCTTCAACCCCACTTTGGGTAACAGTCAAGGAAAATCTTTAGGCCTTTATACCACTAGCTTTTATGATGTGTTTGACTCAGCATGTCAGCTGTCCTTTGATTTCTAAAGGTAGAGGTTGGTATCAGAGTGCTGGGCAGTTACCTTCCTGCCAAACTCAGTCCTTTCCCCCATCCTGTTGACGAGAATTACTTCACATTCAGGTGCTTCAGTGAGGTGTTTCAGCTGGAGATCTGGGAACACTGTATTTAACAGAAAGTTTGATTTGTTCATAAGTAATCAAATCTTGGTAACTTTTATCAAAGAGTGATATAAACAGCACTTTAAACATTAAACTTTTGAGAAAGTGCTTTAAAAGTACTTTAAAAGTAGTTTAAAAAGTACTTTAAACTTTTGAAAAAAATTACAGGTTCTTTTTTTTTTATTATTAATTAAAAAAAATTTCTCTACAATTCTTTTCAGACCAAAAATGCCAACATACTAGGATTCTGCTGGACCAGTTCTACTGAAATTGTCTTCATCACAGATCAAGGAATCGAATTTTACCAGGTATTATATTTATTACTTGGGCTTCCTTGGTGGCTCAGTGGTAAAGTATCCACCTGCCAATATAGGAGATGCATGTTCGATCCCTGGGTCGGGAAGATCTCCAGGAGAAGGAAATGGCAACCCACTCCAGTATTCTTGCCTGGGAATTCCCATGGACGGAGGAGTCTGGTGGGCTACAGTCTACAGAGTCGCAAAAAAGTCAGATAGGACTTAGCAAACAAACATGAACAAATATTTTTTACTTACATGTTCTAGAGAAAGGTCTGTGATCATGTTTTAGCAGCTGTTTGAATTCACTTGGGTTTTTATTCTTTTTTTTCTAATTACAATTAATACATATTTTTTGGTAAAACATTCAGATCTTACCTTTACTTTATATGGAAGGTAAAAAGTCCCCCACAATTCCAGGAAGCAACCATTATGAACTGATTTGGTGTTTGTTCCTCCACTTGGTTCCTGCACTTACAAATATGGTTATATTGTATAAACTTTTGCAACTGGCTCTTTTTTCTTTGCATAGGGATATTTCTTACACATCCTACCATATCTTGTTCTGATTGGTATTCAGGTGTGTAGATGTGCTACAGTTTTACCATTTCTTGTTCATGAACATCTTTGTTTTCTAGTGATTACAAACAATTCTGTAGTGAGTTCAAGCAGTGTATGAGCTAGTAAACATTGGTTTATATTCTTAGATGACACAGTTCTTGAAAGGGCAATTACAATCTAGGTATGAATACCTAAAAATCTGAACAGGGACTTTCCTGGTGGTCTGGTAATTAAGACTTCTTGCTTCCAATGGGTGGTATGTGTGGGGTGGGGGTGTTGAAGGCTCTGTCCCTGATCAGGTAACTAAGATCCCACATGCCTTGCAACAAGGCCAAAAGATAAATTGTGAGTAAGAACTAAATTAAGAATAAAAAGTAAAAACCTGAACAGATATTGTTAAATTTCTTCCAGAAGTTGCATTCTCACTAGCAATATAGGAATCTCTGTTTTCCACACCGTTAGCAGAGGTAGATATCGTAAGTCTGTAGACATTTGCTAATCTTAAGAGGTGGAAAGCCATTTTAATTTGCATGTTTCATTAGGAGGGTGCTAAGCATCTTTTGTTTATTGTACATTTGTGTTTCCTATTTTATGAATTGCCTTTTCATCTTAAAAAGAATATTTTTTTAAACTTTTTTTATTATTCTTATTTATTTTATTTATTTTTATTTTTTGGCTATGCCCTGTGGGATTTTAGTTCCCCTACTAAGAATTGAACCCTTGCCCCCTGCATTGGAAGCTTTAACTACTGGGCCGTCAGGGAAGTCCAGAATTTTTTTAACTGTGATAAAAAGCACAGAACATGAAATCTACCATCTTAACCATTAAGTGTATAATTCATTAGCATTAAGTATTTTCACATTGTCATGAAACCAAGCTCCAAAACTTTTATCTCGTAAAACTGAAACTCAGTGCCTATTGAACAGCAACTCCCCATTTCCCCTTTCCCAGCCTGTGGTAACCACTGGTTTCTTTTCTGCTTCTATGAATTTGTCTGCTTTAAGGTCCTCTGCCTCCTATAAATGGAATCTTACAATGTTTGTCTTTTTCTGACTATCCTGTCTCATTTAGTATAATGTCCTCAAGGTTCATCCATATTACAGCATGCGTCAGAATTCCCTTCCTTTGCCAGGCTGGAAAATATTCCATTGAATACATACACCACATTCTGTTTGTCTGTTTATCTAGCGACAAACAGTGGCATTGCTTTCATTTTTTGGCTACTGTGAATGATGCTGCTATAAACACAAGTGTATGAGTGTGTCTTCAAGATCCTGCTTTCAGTTCTTTTGGGTATATAACCCCCAGATGGAATTGTTGGATCACATAATAATTCTGTTTTTAATTTTTGAGGCATTTCCACATAGCAGTTATGCCATTCTACATTCCCAGCAGTGGTGCACAAGGGTTCCAGTTTCTGCATCTCACCACTAACACTTGTTGTTTTCTGTTTTATCCATAGCAGTCATCCTGCTGGGTGTCAGATGGTGTCTGATTGTGGTCTTGATTTGCATTTCTCTGATTGGTGATGGTGTACACCTTGTTCATGACTTGTTGTCCTTTTGTTCGTGCTCTGGATGGTGTCTATTCCTTTTTTTTTACAAAATAATATTTATTTCATTTATCTTTGGCGGTGCTGAGTTTTTGTTGCTGCTCAAGGGCTTTCTCTAATTGCAGCGAGCGGGGGCTACTCTTCGTTGCGGTGTTCGGGCTTCACATTGCAGCAGCTTCTCGGGGAACACGGGCTCTAGGGCGAGCAGGCTTCAGCAGTTGTAGCACGTGAGCTTAGTTGCTTGCAGCCTGTGGAATCTTCCCGGACCAGGGGTCAAACCCCTGTCCCCTGCATTAGCAAGCAGGTTCTTATCCATTGTGCCACCAGGGAAGTCCCCTCTGTTTTTAAATTGGGTTATTTTCTTTTTGTCGAGTTGTAGGAAGTGTTTGTATAGTTTGAATATTAACTCTTTATCAGATAGATAATTTGCAAATACTTTCTCCTGTTCTGTAGGTTGCCTTTTCACTCTGCTGTTTACATTGGACTTTCCTCTTTATCTTTTAATAACTAACTTATTGACCAGAGACGTAGTAATGCATCTTATGTTACCGGAATGTAATTGACCAGAGTGTTTCAGTATTCACTTACATAACAAATTGCTGGCCACAGGCCTTAGTTTCTGCAAAAATCCCCTGGTCAGTAATGTGTTAATCTGTTCCAGCTGCCTGATCTATTGAGAAAGCTCCTGAAATCTCTTTAAGTGGAGCCAATGTGGAGAGGGTTAGAATTCTTTCAGGTATTAAGTTTGTTGCCCCAACAAAACCAGTGTAATTTCATTTGGAATGTACTAACGGAGGAGGCACACCTCTGTAACACAGGGCGCTGTGAATGCCATGGTACTTTGCTGTAGGTCTGTTATCAGAACCTTAGTGACCGGCAGAAAGAAAAGCTACCTGAATCCCATACACACAGAAATAGAATTTTGTGCCTGTGAATAGCAAGGAAAGGATTATAGCTTTACAGAAGGGTTCTTGGGCAGTCATTTAAAAGTATATCTTTCTGTTCTCAGAAGTAGAAGAATGTACATTTGGGTCATCTAGGTGGTTTTAAGATCTTCAAGAAATAAGTTGGAAAGAAAGAGGAATCTGACACATCTTTATTTTATTATCCCTGGATCATCGAGAAACCCACATCCCCAACGCTGACTTCCATGTCAGTTCTTCAGGGCAGTGTTCTGGGAGTGTTAACATCATCTTGGGGCTCTATTCAGCACTCCTTAATGAATGAGTTTCTGAGTATATTTTAAATGTGCCATTATTATAAAATAGTTACTCGGTTTGCACGTGGAGTCTCATGAACAAGTCTGTTAGAAGAAGGATACCCCCTTACCCCCAGCCTCAGATCGAGCAGGAGACCAGGAGGAAGGCTGATTCTGCAGGCAGGGCTGTGGCTGATTTGGTGCACGTGGCTCCAGGGCGTCGGCTTGTTTTGCTGGATCCGTATCAACCAAGGATGCTGCTGCTCCCCACTCCTGGGAGGATAGTGCCTGGGAGTGTGGGGGCTTGGGCGGCCCTGGAGTGAGGTGGGCTGCCTGGGTTGTCACAGGTTCCTTTGCCCCTTGAAGCCTTATTTTTTCCCCTCAAATCAGCCTAATGATGTCCAGCCCTTGGGGGCAGGGAAAGAATAAATGAGCTAAGATTTGGAAGTGTTAATAAGCACAGCACTGGAAGAATGGTAGCTGTAATAAATAAAAATGATTTTTCCCCCCTACTTAACTACTGGCTTCTTCTTTTTATGATTTTCTTTGTGTACTGTGTCAGTCTTCAGGTATTTTCTTTTTTATTGTTTTGGCCGTACGTCGAGGCATGCAGGATCTTAGTTCCCTGACCAGGGATCAAACCTGGATTCCCTGCAGCAGAAGCACAGAGCCCAGAGGCACTGGACCGCCAGGGAATTTCCCATTTGCTGTTTTCAAATGAGGCTTCTGTTTCTGAACTTTGTGTCAGGTGTTACCAGAGAAGCGGAATCTGAAGCTTCTGAAGAGCCAGAACATCAACGTGAACTGGTACATGTACTGTCCCGAGGGTTCTGTGATTCTGCTGTCCACCACAGTGCTTGGAAATGTGCTGCAGCCCTTCTACTTCCGGGTAAGGGTCAGCCTCCCTTTAAAAAAAGTCCTCTGATAACAGCCTAACTGATCTGTAACTTGAAAAGTGCAAGTTCCACCAACGAGAGCCTTGCCCCTTCTGACCACTAGAGGGCACCCCATACCATCCCATCTCCGCCAAAAATGAGTCCTAAGACCAGGCCCTTGGAACCCTGAAAAGGAGTGGAAGACAGTGCATGTGTATCCTCAGTGACTTGACATGGGGAGTGCTGAAACATCAGAAGGGCTTAATAAGCTTTTGCAAAAACACTTTTTCTCCCCCAAACAGGCTGGCACCATGTCGAAGCTGCCCAAGTTTGAGATTGAATTACCAGCTGCCCCAAAGTCAACTAAACTGAGCCTCTCGGAGAGAGACATTGCCATGGCGACAATGTATGTCTGTCCTTTGGGAGAATTCCTCTTGGTAATTGCTTTCAGCGCTGTCATGATAGGAGGTTGTTGTAAGCACACCGGGGCTGCCCTGGCTCTTGGAGCCTCGGAACACACGAGAAGGACCCCTGCTTCTCCACTTTTGGATCTTATGAATGTAGAAAGCTCCTCATCTTCCTGACATTCTTTTCTGATTTTATTGACTTTGTGATCTTAGAGAAGTTTTTTTCACCACGTTAGTCTGATAAAATGAGACCATTGAGCCAATTTATTTCTCAGTTTCAGAAATTTTTTTTTTAGTTCTGAGTTGAAGCTTATCAAAGATCTTTTTAGATAAAATATACTTGTTCTAAAGAAAAACATAGCTTACATTTTTTATCTAACAGATGTAGACCTAAATTATTTGTGTAGGAAGGTTTATTTTCATTTGGAAATGTAGATAGCTCAATTTAAAAACTTTATTATGAAAATATCAAACACAAAAATAAAACTAATTCAGAGACTCTCCTGTATACCCAAATTCAACAGATATCAACACTTTGCTTCTAAATTACTTCTGATTCTTCTGTGGCCTAAAACTGGTTTCCAAATGGTAAAATATTTTTAGCACTTAGAATGCTTTTTTTTTTTTTAAGAAATCTGAGGCATGATGGTGTAGAAAAAGAAAATAAGAACAATCTTTGCAAAAGGAGACCCTTCCCTCTGTCTCTTCCTTGTCCCTGAGGCAGGCCCCAGCACAGTGTGAACTCTTGGAACAAAAGCCTGCCTACAGGAACTGGTCACAGCAGCATTTATCAGATGAAGCTTAAAAATGCAAAGTGATTATCCTTTCCTATGATTAAGGACTGTATTCATTTTACAAAACTGGGAAATCACAGAAAGTGAAAAGAAAAATAGACTTGGCATATTACTCTGGGCTTCCCAGCTGGCACTAGTGGTAAAGAATCCCTCTGCCATTGCAGGAGACTTGGGTTTGATCCCTGGGTTGGAAGATCCCCTGGAGGAGGAAATGGCAACACAGTCCTTTATTCTTGCCTGGGAAATCCCATGGACAAAGGAAGCTGGTGGGCTACAGTCAGACATGACTGAGCACATGAGCACAGCATGTTACTCAAGGACGACTATTAACAACTTGCATTTCTTTCCAGTAGTTTTGGACAGCCTGCATAAGTTTGTGGGTTTTTTTACTACTGTGATCAAGTTCTATTTAGTTTTGCACCCCCCCTTTTTCACTTAATATTAGATTTTTTTTTTAAGCTAACTGCACTTTCTTTGTAAATGTTTCTCTTGGCTGCAGAATATCTGATTATGTGGGTATCTGGTAATTCACTTACCTATGGCCTTATAACTCAGTAGAATGGAAGGATGTCAGATGACCATCATGACTTACGTCTCCTTGTTCTCTGATCAGATATGGCCAGCTGTACGTTCTCTTCCTGAGGCATCATTCTCGGACCTCCAATAGTACTGGAGCAGAGGTAGTCCTGTATCACCTACCACGGTACATTTAATGCTGTCTTCCCTCTTCTCCAATTTTAAAACACGAACTAAAGCTTGTTGATCTATTTTGTGACCTTTCTCTTGTTTTACAGAGAAGGTGCCTGTAAGAAGATGCACATACTGAAGTTAAACCGGACGGGGAAGTTCGCCCTAAACGTGGTGGACAACCTGGTAGTGGTTCATCATCAGGACACAGAGGTATGACTAGGGGGTGTCCTGCTCTAAGGAACTGTGAAAATGGACAAAACATACTGAAAAAGATTAGAAAATGCTTTTAATGCTCAAAGTTTTGGTCTTCCAGGTAGAAATGGGTTTGGTCTTCTAGATGGTTTAGGAAAACCCTACCAGTTGATTAGGATAATTAAATACTATTTCAGAAAACAACACACATGAGACCAAACTTGAGAATAGTCATTTGGTTGAGTCATCTAAGCCAGGAATTCCTGCTGAGCCACTCTGTTGCATTAGCGCCTGAGCCTTGCACTTCCTTTGTAAGTGTAAATGATGGTGGTTTTGAGGCCACGTGGCTCCAGAGAAAGAACTAGAATGCCCTGTCAGCTGGGTGTCCGGTGGGAGACAAGCCACTTGCCTCCTGGAGGCTGGTGACACCCGTGTTGTTAACTAATGAAGGTGTCGCAAGTTAAAGTGAAAAGGCTGTGTTCCCATCACTGGAGCCCTTCAGAGGCAGTGAGTCATAGATGTGGGAATCCATGTGAGAGCTGGCTGAGAGCTGTGATGTCACAGCAGAGTCCTCCTCAGATAGCCACCAGCATGCAGGGATAGATCGCAGACACGAGGCTCCCTCAGCAGATCTGATCAGAAGATGTGAGGTTCTGAGGTCTGTTGGACTGATACCACACTGTTGTCTTTCTACCCGCCAGACATCAGTGATATTTGATATTAGGTTGAGGGGGGAATTCGACGGCTCTGTTACTCTGCATCACCCGGTGCTCCCAGCTCGATCCATCCAGCCCTATCAGATCCCCGCGGCAGGTAAGAGGGAGTCGCCATGTGTGGGTGGAAGGGGGAGCAGGTCCCGGGCTTCCCACACCTGTTCGCTTTTCCAGGGCTGGTTCTGTCTGTCTGTTTTAACGTCACTACTGAAACTTGGGCTTCCCTGGTGGCTCAGATAATAAAGAATCTGCCTGCAACGCAGGAGATGCGAGTTCAGTCTCTGGATTGGAAAGATCCCCTGGAGAAGAAAATGGCAACCCACTCCAGTATTCTTGCCTGGAGAGTTCCATGGACAGAGAAACCTGCTGGGTGACTGTCTTTGGGGTCTCAGAGTCGGACACGACCAAGCGACTAACACTACTGAGTCTATAAGTTAAAATTGTGTTCTCATGAAAAGCATTTTATAAGTGATATGAATCTCCCTTTGAAGAAAACAATGATTCTTTTCTCTGAGCTTTACAATGGAGCATTGTGATTACCCACTGAAGCTCAAAGAGTTTTTAATGTTAAGTAAGATGTTGACGTTTTTGCTTGTCTCTGCTCGGTAACCCTGCAGTTAAATTTGGGTATTTATGGCTGTTATTTTGACCTGGGATCACTTCTCCTTATCGTTCTTATGTTCTGTGTCACTATGATGACAAAGACTGTTTTCCCTTGACTGGTGGTCATGGGAAGGGTTAAGGCTGTGGTTGTGAGTATTCTGAACCCATTCTCCGACTCGAAGTGGTGGCAGTGAGAAGTCAGAGGAGAGAGAAGGTCAGGATGTCAGAAAAGGGGAAAAGCCATTTCATTCCTTTTGCTTTTACTTAGTGTGACTGACTTCAGGGGAGAACTCAAAGCATGTTCTTTTTCAAGGAGATGGGAGTCTGGAGCAAGATGGTTGTATATACAACCAACCAACCAAGTTGGTTACCATGTATAAACCAGAGTCAGAAGGTGCACATGTGGAACTCTGGGAGGAGCATTTTCTTAAAGGAATCCTTGTCGATAGCTTTGGGTTGACCTCACCCACTGACAGGACGTCCGTGTACCTGTCCCGAGAATCAGGTCAGGCTCTGGCTGATTGTTTAGCCGGAGCGCTGCCTCGTGCCTGCGCGCTGGGTCTTGCAGGATCAGCCAGCTGAGCAGAGTTTGAGAACAAGCCACAGTTGACCCTTGAACAATGAGGGTTAATCTGCACATAACTGATGGTCAGTCCCCCGTATCCATCCATCTGCACCTGAAGATTCAGCCACCCACAGACCGTGTAGTCCTGTGGTTTCTACTGTTGAGAAATGTCCCTGTGTAAGTGGGCCCGTGGAGTTCATGCCCGCCTTGTTTGAGGGTCGGCTGTAGTTCTCACATCTGATTAGGTCTCAGCCTTCTCTGGTCTTTCCAGCTTCTTCCTTTTCCCAGGGTAGTTGAAAGATGTCAGCACTTAAAGAGTAGATGGTGTCAGATGAATGGCTGCTATCTGTGATTGCTTACTCAGCATGAAAATAACTGCTGGCAATTGGGGCAAAAACAACTCTCTAAATATTCCAGCCCAGTCCTCTAATGGGGCGGGGGGTAGGGGTGGGTGAGTCTGTGCAAAATTGACATCTTTTCTAACCAGCTGATTAAAACCTTTCTTCCAATCTGAAATCACCCAGGTGACTTTTTTAGTTCTTGTGCACATGTGTGAAAAAGCAAGACAGCTCTGTGAAAGAAACCTCAATCTGCTTTCCGCTTCTTTTAAGACTTCTTCCTTTAAAACTTCTTCATGAATTGTTCTTGACTTCCCTCTTACTCCTGATGGGTGTTATCAGTGGGACATGCCAACTCACTTCCTCCTTAACTGCAGTCGAATGAACACTCACTGAAGCCCTTAGAAAGTATTAAGTGTCGTACTGGCAGCACTTTCTGGCTGGGTTACTTAGGCCTTACACACGTGTCTTTTCTGTTTGTAGGTCCGGCTCCTGTGACCAGCCAGTCTCCTGTCCCGTGTAAACTCTGTATCTTTTCCGAAAGCCTTGGCAGGGCTGGGGAGGGGAGCTGTCACCTCTCCTTACACCGGGGTCTAAGGGTGGTCCAAGCCCCCAAGTAAGCGGTGAATCACACCATGGAAAGCACCTGTGGGGTTTCCTTCTCATCAAGGGCCGGGCCTCCATGGGGGCCTCAGTGAGGGGTGGGGAGGATGCTAATGGGAGCTGGGTTGTCTTCTGTCCTCTTCTCCTGGGGTAGTGTTTCCTATAACGTGTGGACTCTTCATCGTGGATTGTCTTCCAGCCCGATATCATCATCAGCGCGAGTCAAGGTGGGTCTGAGGTGCAGGTGGGGAGTGTCCTGTTAGAAAATATGAGCTTGTGGACGGTCTTCTGTCCGACTCGAGGGTACCAGCTCAGTGCTGGTCCTGTGGAGAAAGGGCTGACTCGGACATTTCCAGTGAAGCCTTTCTCTCCCAGACCCCCGTTGAGAAGGACTGTGCCCACTGCCCAGCAGTGAGGGTGTTGGGAGGTTCGGGGACGGGGGGTGCCCAGGGCTGGGAGGATGGTGGGTTCCAGAGCTCCTCTGGGAGCCTCAGGAGTTGCCTTTGACTAACGAGTCAGAGCAGAAGAGGATCCCGGGACCAGAGTCCGTGCCCGGGCTGCCACCTGCTCTCCGTCAGCGCTGAAGGGGAGGAGGTGCCCGTCTTCAGTGGATGCTCCACGGGTGTGCAGGGAGGGTTCCTCCGTGAGGAGTCGGCCAACACGCAGAGCTCGTTGGCTGCAGCCCCGCGGTGGAGTGGGTGTCCCGAGCGTCGCAGCCTGGCTGTGTTGTGAGCGCAGCCACTGGCTCGGCTCTGCAGCATGGCCCCCGCCCGCCCTGAAGGTGGAGGGAAGCAGCTCGGGGGCCGCTGCTCTGGTTTGCAGCCAGGGTTCAGCGTGCCGCCTCTCCACCAGGTTACCTCTGGAACCTCCAGGTGAAACTGCAGCCCATAGTGAACCTCTTGCCGGATAAAGGCAGGCTCGTGGACTTCCTCCTGCAGAGGAAGGAGTGCAAGGTGGTCATCCTGTCTGTGTGCTCGCAGAGTGAGTAGGGCTTGGGGGTCCTCAGCCCCTCGGTCTGATTCCTGACATGGCCTGCATGCCCGCTGTGAGATGGGCCACGCTTTTCTCCTCTCTGCAGCCTGTAGGCTTGTGACAGGGGCATCATTTAACCCCTGGAAAGGCTGCTTTTTGATGTATCCCTGCAAGACATTTCTTGGGTAGGAGAGACTAAAGAAACAGACCTAAACCTGGGCACACACGAGGGTAGAGGATGCCCTCCCCAGCTGGAAAAGAAACCTTTCTCTGAGTCCAAGTCACTCAGGACGTTGTGTCTGTTAACGCTCTGAGACTCTCCTGACGCCCTCTGTCAGGAACCAGCAAGGGCTGGTGACCACGCTGTCATGTCTCCTGGTGACCCTTGGAGACGAGTCCTTTCTCTCCTAGCGTGTCGGCTGACCGGTGTGAACCTTGATCCCTTCCAGTGTTGACAGAGTCAGACAGAGCGACGTTGCCCGTGATAGCCACCGTCTTTGACAAACTCAACCAGGAGTATAAGAAGTACCTGGACGCCGAGCAGAGTTACACGATGGTAAGTTGTATGTACACCAGGGGGCGCTCCACCACACCCCACCCCAGGTACATTTTCAACGTAACTATAAGCAAGATTCTCATAGAATGATACCACTGCGGTTTGCCCTGTGCCAGGGGGCATGGTGGATGTTTACAGGCAGCGTAAACTTTGAGTCCCCGTGTCCCCTGAGCCCAGGGGCTGCATGTCACTTAATGGCTTCATCTTCACTTGTTGTTTTTAATCTGTTTGGTCACATTACATGTATAGATCCTTGTGGTCTCCCTCTATGGAACGGAGAAGAAAATCAGTCTCGGTTTGCATTATTTTATGTCTTTCTGCCAAGCCAGAGTCAAGACTTTGGTAAATCAGTAATGTAAATCATTTTGCCACATCTTCCTTTCCTTTTAGGATGGAAAAGCTATAAAAGTAAGACTTATCCTGTCATTCAGTCAAGCTCCTTTTAGGATCCTGATGATTAAGTACTAGCACTGCGCTTTTCCTGTCGTAGGCTCAGGTGTCTGTTGGACTTCCCTGGCGGTTCAGTGGTTAAGACTCCACGCTCCCAGCACTTGCACTGTTAGGGGCATGGTCTGGGACCAGTTCCCCTGGTCTGGGGACTTAAGATCTCGCATGCCACTTGCAGCGCCCCCCCCCCCAAAAAAAAACAAACAAAAATGTCGAGTGTCTGTTGTGAAGGGTAGGCTTATACTGTTTCATAAGTGTGTCTTCTGAAGCTAGAAGGAAGTTCAGGACAAGTGGAATGAATTATTTGCCTTCATGAACCTGAGTAGTCCGAAGGCTAAAAATGGCAGTGGTTTTAAACAGTGACAACCCCCCAGAACCCCTTCCCTTTAGCCTCTCAGGGGCGCAGTGTGCAGCCTTGCGTGGCCCTGTCCTCAGACCCATGCCCTTCTGGAGCTGTCCTGTTCCTGCCACGGGTGTTGTGGGCAGAAGAGGCAGCAAGTCTGATCTCAAATGGCAGCCTCTGTGAGCCCCTACGCTGCAGTGCTCTGGCTTTGTAAACCTGTGGGAGTCAAGAGCGTGGGCCACCAACACCACCACTGAAATGCATCGGGCTTCTGCAAATGCAGGTTCTCAGGTGCCCCCCGCAGTCAGCATTACAAAGTGAGGTGAGGTCGTCAAGATCTCACAGGGCTTTCTTGTTCAGTGACAGCCTTGCTTGCCATTTACAAAGCTATTGAGGGAATTCTCTGGCGACCCAGTGGTTAGAACTCTGTGTTCTCAGCACTGAGTGCCTGGGTTCAGTCCCTGGTCTGGATTGTGGTCAATCCCACAAGCCTTGCTGTTCAGCCAAAAAAAAAAAATTCTATTGATTCTCATTGTGAGAGATATTTTTCACTCAGTGTAGGATCTGGGCTTCATAAAACAAAGATGCAGTAGGCATTTTATTAGACAACAAATGCCACATGGTTTGCAATTAATATTATTAGGGAGTTAGAGGTTAAAATTCTCAATAAAACTACGTCTTAGGCTTTTAGGTTCCATCCATGAACACTGGTGTGTTTTCAGGATGATCAGCTCTGACCTGCTAAACACCCTCTCCAGCTGCACTGCAGTGTTTGTCCAAATGTCATCCTCTGCTCCTGTCCAGGCTCACAGCATCTAGGAATTTGGTCTTTTGGGGTTGACTGCAAACATGCCATTACCCAGAAGACGCCTGAGACCCTGTCTGTGGTTTGTGCAGGCCATGGAGGCAGGGCAGAGCCGGAGTGGCCCGCTGCTCAGGAGGCCAGTGCGCACCCAAGCCGTGGTCGACCAGTCTGACATGTACACCCACGTTCTGTCAGTGTTCACGGAGAAGAAGGTAGGGGAGGCTCGCCAGCCCCCTTTGGGCTTAGGATTCGCAAGGCAGTGATCATACTTGAAGGGAACTGAGGAGAAAGAACTCAGAATGTGATTAGAGTAACTGAGCTGTCTTGGAGTGAGGACTGGATGAATGCTCATCATTTGGCCTCTAATACTCAAGCTTAAATATGATCACAGACCAGGGAGGGTTTGGAGGGTGGCTTAGTGGTAAAGAACCCACCTGCCAGTGCAGAAGATGTAAGAGATGTGAGTTTGATCCCTGGGTTAGGAAGATCCCCTGGAGGAGGGCATGGCAACCCACTCCAGTATTCTTGGCTGGAGAATCCCATGGACAGAGGAGCCTGTGGACTATGGTCCGTGGGTTCGCACAGAGTTGGACATGACTGAAGCAGCACAGCGCAGCCAAGTGGAACCCCGGAATCCGGGGGCAGATGAACAAGGAGTCACATGTGTCTAACCGTTCTCCTCTGTGCAGGAGATGCCGCACAAATTTGTGATCGCCGTGCTCATGGAGTACATCCGATCCCTGAACCAGTTTCAGATCACAGTACAGGTACCTCTGGTGGGCCCACGTTCCAGGGACAGGGAATCATTAGAGTAAAAGCAGCGTCACTGTCTGAACTGAAGTGACTTAGTATCCCCCAAGGGTCTGCACACCTGGCTCAGAGTGAGGCGCCCCCCTCATAGGGCCCTGTGCTCTTCAGTGGAATAATCAGTGTCAGATCAGGGCTGGGTTTTCACCTGCACCCACTTCTCTTAGTGACGGGAACTTCACTTAGAGCAGCCACGGTCCTTGGCATGCCGCATCGCTAGTCTGTCGTAGTTGACTGACGTGTCTGTCTGTCTCTCAGCATTACTTACACGAGCTGGTCATCAAGACGCTCGTCCAGCACAACCTCTTCTACATGCTGCACCAGTTCCTGCAGTACCACGTCCTCAGTGACTCAAAGCCTTTGGTGAGTGCCAGTCGGCTTTACTTCTGTGACTCAACATTTGAGGGACTTCCCTGGTGATCCAGTGGCTAAGACTCCACATTCCCAATGCAGGGGGCCCAGGTTCGATTCCTGGTGGGGTAACTTGACCCTGCTTGGGTAACTAGATCCTGCTTGCCACAAGCAAGAGTTCACATGTTGTAACTAAGACACGTGGCATAGCCAAATAAAAACAAGTATAAAATAAACCTTTGACCTTCTAACATATTATGAATGCAATCTGAAAGCGTGTATCTTTCAGGCTTGTTTGCTGCTTTCCCTAGAAAGTTTTTATCCTCCTGCCCACCAGCTGTCTCTGGATATGCTGAAGGTAACTGATATAGCCAAGTTTCAAACCACACAGAAGGCTGTTCCTACTGCATGCACTGACCCAGCTTTCTACCTTATTTCCAGCGACTTTCCACAGCAAATGATGAAATAGTAGAAGTTCTCCTTTCCAAACACCAAGTGTTAGCTGCCTTAAGGTTCATCCGGGGGATTGGTGGCCATGATAACATCTCTGCACGGAAGTTTCTAGATGCTGCAAAGCAGACTGAAGACCACATGCTTTTCTACACGATATTCCGATTTTTTGAACAGCGAAACCAGCGTCTGCGAGGGAACCCTAGTTTCACACCAGGTGAGAATACAACTGCAAGGAAAAGACGTGGGGTGGCCACACTCAGTACCAGGAGATCATTGACGGCTGGGGTGGGGCGAGAAGACTTTTGGTTTGGAGAACTCTTGGGCTGGTTCTTAACAAAATTTTGTACCAGCCCGCATAAGCCTTAGCCTGTTCACTGTAGTGAGAATGTATTCAGGGTGCTGATGGAGTTGGGGTTCTGCTGTGGAACTTGCAGGGAGGGATGGGGTGGAGACAGTGTCATCTGGGCAAAGCTGTCTCACATCTGGGCCTGGTATGGCCCTTTCTGAAGAATCAGGAACAAGACCGGAAATGGCTGCAGAGGGTTAACAGTGGCCTGAGGCTTGTCAATGTTTCATTTCTAGGCAGGATGCATTGGCCAATCAGTCTAATCTCTAAAGTTATGAAATCTAAAGCACCCTTTTCCTCAGGATGGGGGAACCTGTGACTCCTTCAGGGCTTCCAGTGTTTACAGATCTCCCTGCTTCTCCACCGTCTCTCAGGGCAGACGGCGGGGTTGCTGTTGGCGGTCAAGGCACCAGCTAGTCCTGTGATGGCATGAGCTGTGTGAACAGAAAGGATGACTCAGAAGCTTAGGAAAACAAAGTATTTTATGAGAGAAAAATAAGTTAAAACCCAGTATCCACATCTAGGAGCTGCGGAGTGTTTCCTTGTTTTCTTCCTTTTGTGCCTCGTCTTAACGGATTAAATCTGCATTTTCCTTTACAGGAGAACACTGTGAAGAACATGTTGCTTTTTTCAAACAAGTTTTCGGAGACCAAGCTCTGATGAGGCCTACAACTTTCTGAGGTCACTTGCTAGTTTTTTTTATATATATATATATATATAAAATGTGTACAAAGTTAATTTATTGCATTAATAAAGCTCTTTAAACTACAAAATGTTGTAATAAAGTATGTATCTACCACATCCTCAAATGTTACTAAAAATAAGGTGTAGAACTTGTGTGATGGCTTACTCCTGAAAAAGGAGAAACATTGCATTGATTGGCCTTTAGGAAGTGTCAGTGAGCAGATCGCAGGCTCCCTAGCGCCCCCTTCTGGCTGCCCGAGAACCAGGCCTCATTCCTGGGGAACTGAAAGGTGCTCCAGCACCCTGGGGCTGCCTCCAGGTTCAGCAATACTGCTTCCAGTCAGAGTCTGCATTCCTGAGTTTAAAAGCGCTAGGGCCAGAGCGGCTGCTGTTAAGTAGCCTAATGCTTGCTCACGTCCAGAGTTCAACCGAGCCTCGACAACTCGGTTGCCGTCGTGGTAAACCAGCCAACCCGCAGACACAGTCTCAAGCCCGTGAGGGGCAGCTAGAAGTTGAGGAGCTGTTCTCGCTCTGTGCCTCTGTATCGCTGCTGCACGGTCAGACTTCTGGCTTTATTTATTGACGGGCCTATGAGGGATAAAATAACCTATGAATCATTTCTTGAGAAAAGGAGATGGTTTCTACTGTAACAGAACTTCCTGTCCTCCAGAGATTTAGGGGGGAAAAAAATCCTCATTTTCTCAATCACAAAGCTATAAATCAAGCAAATTAGTACTGTTCTGTCAACCACAGGTCGTTTATAGAAGCTGAAGTTGCCACAGAGGCAAAATATGCTCCTAAAGAGAACTCCAAATTAGAGACAAACCACAGAGCAGCATTCTTTAAAAGTGAACGGAAATGAAGGCTGCTCCAGGGCACCCCGGGCTGTGGCCAGACCAGGTCCTTCTCAGCGGGGAGAAGCCCTGGGCCTCTGACATGCAACCTTACTCCCAGTGCTGACCACGTCAGGCTCCAGTTTTCTAATGAAGTGGTTTAGCCATGAAGCCCCAGGATCAGAGTTTTTCTCTTAGAATAAATATTTATCAAATGACCACTGGTATAAGTACATTCAAATACTTCAAAGGAAAGCTTCAAGGTACCCGCCCTTTTATCAGGCTTCCTCTATCCCACCAGCTTAAAGACAAAAAGCTCTTACCTATGTAACTGAGTAAGACAGGGAGGAATATTAATCCATGAGTGGCTCCCAGTAAGACCATGGCTAAATACATCCTAAAGTAAAATATCTGGAAAATTTGAGATTTGGCAAAGGCCAACACGATAATGCCTCCAAATTTTGTTAGTGTGATTCCACTGAATACCTAAGAGAAGAGAGATGGGCTCAGAAACCACTTGTATCAACCGACCATAATTGAACACTTCCTCCTAAAGGAATTTCTTAAACATCAAGGTCCAAAGTAATGAAGGACTGAACCCCAGCTTTCAGAGTTACTGATAAAACAATTTAGGCAGAGCCAAATGCTGCTTATTTGCTGTTTATGAATCTGAAAAAAAAAAAAGGTGTAATAAGGATAAAAGCTGTGTATTCTGCATATACCCCATAGCAACCTTGCAAGTCTATCAGCACCATTTTTCCAAGAGCATTAGTTTTAAGGTATGTACATTATGTTTTTAGACAATGCTATTGCACACTTTTCATTGTTCATCTATAACAGTATTTTCTATGGTGGAAAAGAAACTGGTTCACAGTCCAGCCCTGTATCCTGGTTCAGCCTGAGAAGATTCTGCCAACCTGACCCACAAACCACACTGGGCTCTAAGCATGGCAGCTCGCCTGCTTTTCAACACACATGGCTGGGCCTGGTTTTTCAATGGCTCTCACATCAAACCTGTTTTCCTGCTTCATTCAGCCAGACTGCGCAAAGGAGTCCCCCCAAAGGAATAGTCCTAAAGAATTCCAGGCTAGAGCTCTACGCAAGATCCAGCTCTACGCAAGTTTCCTGAATTGCCTGAAAACTTGTAATCCTGAGGTACTGCCGCTAAGTCAGACATAACAAATTCTGTTTTCAGAATCTGGTAAAGTTTCTTCTCCTGAGAAGCTCTCAGTCGCCCGACTGGGCCCTTCACGGTGAAGTTGCCGCCCGGGGGGCCCGCTCGGCGGTACTTACAGAGCTGCCCATGTGGGAGAGCGCCTCCTCCGCCCGCTCCACACGGCTGCCCTTCGTGCTCACCGTGAACGCCCTCGTGATGTGGCTACAGAACTCCACGGAGATGCCGCAGCTCTGAAACAAAGTGCTCCCGTGAGGACTGCTCTGCTCTGATTAAAGGTGGTAAAAGCAGCGCCCCCCTCCTGGGATCTGTGGTTACCAGGGCACCCTGGGGAGTCAAGGAGCCCCGAGCAAAGCCCCTCCTACTTGCCAGACAAAGCCCCCGGGGCACCCATATCAGCTGTCCCGGGAAGCCCGTGGAACCTCCAGGCACAGTGCCCAGCACTCGAGATTCCTCCAGCAGATCGGCCTTCTATAGGGAAGCGGCTGAAACCTCTCAAGGTCCTCCCACCCCAGACCCAAGCAGCACACTGTCATCTCTTTAGCAGGGCCTCACTACCACTCCCCCTGAAGCATGTTCTTTTCCTACATGAAGGGCACATGCACTGGGTCTAGCTTCTGTTCATACTTTTTCAGATGCGCATACATTCAAGACTTAAAAAAGCACCTGGCAACTACATGAGAGGCTAAAAGTCCTGGTCAGAAAATTCCATTCAGAAGGGGCAATTAGTCTAAGAGGAAATGGAACATCGTCCTGTCATCAGGCTACATACTTCGACAACTCACCCTTCAGAATAATACACACAGAGCACTTCAGCCAGACTGTGAGGTCACACCGTCATCATTACGTGACCACGTCCAACTGCCCATGTGCACCAAGAACAAGAGCTGACCTTGACCTTTCACCCCAAGAAACAAGGCACATCAGTGGCACAGGAGTGAGGGCCGAGCACTCCCCGAGGACTCACCATGACCAGGTTGACCAGAGAAACTGCGTTCAGGCTGATGCCCCACAGCCACATGACCCCAAACATGTTGACCAAGATCATGGCAATGGTGGCGCACATGATGACCGCGGACCACAGCTCACAGCCCAGGAGGACCAAGGTCACCAGAAAGATGGCGCCCAGGGACACGCTGAGGTTGAAGATAGTGTCATCAATCATGGTCAGGTACTGCTCATAGAAGACGTAGAACACACTGGAAGGGGAACAGGGGTCTGTTACTGCTCGTTCTCACTCCAGGGGGCCTTACTCCTCATCCTGCCGCCACTGCGAAATGAAGCTACCTTGAGAGGCAGGCCTCACAGGAAACCTACCTGTTTTTGTAAGACTCGCCTTTGGCAGTTCAGCTGGACCTCTGACCACTGACGCCCAAAGCAGGGCCTCATAGACGTGTATCTTATATAAAGTTTTTGTTCATATGCCCAATCCATTCTGCTTTGTGTTACGTGTGCTCAGTCATGTCTGACTTTGTGACCCCCTGGACTGTAGCCCACCAGGCTCCTCTGTCCATGCATGGGCTTTTCTCGGCAAGAATACTGGAAAGGGTTGCCATGCCCTCTTCCAGGGGATCTTCCCGACCCAGGGGTTGAACCTGTGTCTCCCGCATCTTCTATACGGCCCGTGGCTTCTTTACCTGCAGAGCCATCAGGGAAGCCTCCATTCTGCTTTGCAGGCATTCATCTATGAAGAATATTTCAGGGTACTTTGGGAAAACAAGCCCTGGTCTATTGTGATGTGGCTACAGAACTCCACGGAGATGCCGCAGCTCTGAAACAAAGTGCTCCCGTGAGGACTGCTCTGCTCTGATTAAAGGTGGTAAAAGCAGTGCCCCTTTCCTGGGATCTGTGGTTACCAGGGCACCCTGGGGAGTCAAGGAGCCCCGAGCAAAGCCCCTCCTACTTGCCAGACAAAGCCCCCGGGGCACCCATATCAGCTGTCCCGGGAAGCCCGTGGAACCTCCAGGCACAGTGCCCAGCACTCGAGATTCCTCCAGCAGATCGGCCTTCTATAGGGAAGCGGCTGAAACCTCTCAAGGTCCTCCCACCCCAGACCCAAGCAGCACACTGTCATCTCTTTAGCAGGGCCTCACTACCACTCCCCCTGAAGCATGTTCTTTTCCTATATGAAGGGCACATGCACTGGGTCTAGCTTCTGTTCATACTTTTTCAGATGCGCATATATTCAAGACTTAAAAAAGCACCTGGCAACTACATGAGAGGCTAAAAGTCCTGGTCAGAAAATTCCATTCAGAAGGGGCAATTAGTCTAAGTGGAAATGGAACATCTTCCTGTCATCAGGCTACATACTTCGACAACTCACCCTTCAGAATAATACACACAGAGCACTTCAGCCAGACTGTGAGGTCACACCGTCATCATTACGTGACCACGTCCAACTGCCCATGTGCACCAAGAACAAGAGCTGACCTTGACCTTTCACCCCAAGAAACAAGGCACATCAGTGGCACAGGAGTGAGGGCCGAGCACTCCCCGAGGACTCACCATGACCAGGTTGACCAGAGAAACTGCGTTCAGGCTGATGCCCCACAGCCACATGACCCCAAACATGTTGACCAAGATCATGGCAATGGTGGCGCACATGATGACCGCGGACCACAGCTCACAGCCCAGGAGGACCAAGGTCACCAGAAAGATGGCGCCCAGGGACACGCTGAGGTTGAAGATGGTGTCGTCAATCATGGTCAGGTACTGCTCATAGAAGACGTAGAACACACTGGAAGGGGGAGAGGGGTCTGTTACTGCTCGTTCTCACTCCAGGGGGCTTTACTCCTCATCCTGCCGCCACTGCGAAATGAAGCTACCTTGAGAGGCAGGCCTCACAGGAAACCTACCTGTTTTTGTAAGACTCGCCTTTGGCAGTTCAGCTGGACCTCTGACCACTGACGCCCAAAGCAGGGCCTCATAGACGTGTATCTTATATAAAGTTTTTGTTCATATGCCCAATCCATTCTGCTTTGTGTTACGTGTGCTCAGTCATGTCTGACTTTGTGACCCCCTGGACTGTAGCCCACCAGGCTCCTCTGTCCATGCATGGGCTTTTCTCGGCAAGAATACTGGA